CTTTAGGAGCGTTTTCTAGACGGGGTGCCACGTCCTGGCTCCAGTGTCCATCATTTGTCTTCCCTTGGGACCTCCTAGCTGGTTTGACTTTCACGATCTTCTCGATCTCCACATTTTGATCTTTGCTATCCACCCCTCCCCCAACTTCCTAATTGATACGTAATAATGTCATTAATTCAGAAAGTGGAAGCAACAATAAACTCCAAAATGTTCTCACGTCTACAACTGCAAACCAGGGTGCACAGAAAACTCATTCCTACCATCAGTAATTGTTATTTAGCCTCAGTCTTCCTCTTTGAATAACTGGTTTCTCCTCATCCTTCCAAACTCAGCTCAAACAGAAAGTGCTCCGGAAGGCATTTTTCCAAACTGAGTAGGTTAAGCTCCTCCACTTATTCCGCTACTTGTCCATTAGAACATACGCTTTATGCGGCGGGGACGCTATTTTCACAATGGTAACTACAATTCCAGTGAGTTGGAATTGGCTCAATGGTGGTGGATTTGCATTTTTGTTTTGTTTCTTGTTACTCAAAATTTCCAGTCTAATGCCTGACTTATAGCAAGGAATCAATAAATGTTGATTGATTGGGAAAATGGATATTTATTTACCTGTTAATTCTCAGAGCAGAAACTTTGTTTATCTTGTTCACTTGTAAATCTGCTCGGGGTTTAACTCTGTACCTGACATAAACCCATCTCCAGCAAGTTCATTCAGACCCACAGTGACTTCATTTGGGGTTTCAGAGGCTGTTTATCTTTTTAAGAGCAAACAGCCTCTTCTGTATCCATGTCATGGCTTGTGGGTTTGAACACCAATCTTGTAGTTAGCAGCCCAACGCTTACTGACAGTACCACCAGGGATTTTTGTGTTTGATATAGCAGTAGATACTAAATATAATGTTGTTGAATTAAAAAAAAAGATTCTTAAGAAGAATGTTTTAAAAGAGGAAAACAAAAATTAAAAATAACGGAAAAGAATTTTAAAATCCCAAACAATATAAAGATCAGGTTCTGAATCAGGCACACCATATCTTAAAGGGCTATGAATGCCTGTGAAAATTTACGTGACTGAATAAAAAAAATCACTTATGAATAGTTCTTAGAACACTTCATCTTTATGAAAAATTTGCCTTTGATGCCAAGTTCAAAGGAACAAATAAGAGGTAATCAGTAATAATTATCCTCTTTAACAATTCTATAATCAGTGACAAGATAACTACTTCTTACATCTCTATCTACTTGAGTTGGCAAATAAGCATTTATGACATCCAAATGGTGTAAATGCTAGCCCCAAAGGACAAATTAAATCTCGATAAATGCTTGAAACAGGAGTCAGCAACTGGGAGAAACATTCATTACACTGAATAATGCCTTTCAGGTGGTAATGTAGGTGAACAAAATCTGAATTTCTGATCCATTAGCAGCTAGGAATTAACTCATGGTCTTTAAATACACAAGTGCAAAATTTTCATTTAAAATGAATGAGCATCAAATGTGTGCAAAATGATGAGTTTGGGGGTTACAAAGATGGGCAGTTCATAGATCAGTAAACATATAACTATATTATAAAAATGGTAGATAATAAAGATGTGCATAAAAATGCACGAATAACCCAAGTCAAGAAAAAACTAAGTATAATACGATCAGGTAAAGATATAGATAATAAAGACTGTTTGAGCTGAAAAGTAAAGATGATCAAGTATGAGGATGATTTTGTGTACGTGAATAATTCAGGTACTGAGAGATGGAGTTAAGTCTACATTGACCCAGTAGCTATCTCTCAAAGATGGTATTAATGGAAGTTCATTATGCCCCAGAGGGATGATAGCTAGGACTCTATCATAAAGCACCAAAAAAGTTTTGAAAGGTTGGAAATGGCAGATAAAAAAAAACAAAAGCATTCAGACTCAGGAGTGGGTCCCCAGCTCCCACTAAAACCTAGCTCCAATTTAAGGACAATTCATTCTTAAATCATGGCCCTGCGATATACTCTCCTTTAGGAAGGGAACGCAAGATATGGGTGCCCTAGCAAAGAATGGAACGCAGGATTGATGAACCTATAGGGGAAGGAAGCAGAAGAAAGAGTTTTCTGGAGAATACAGTGGTGGTGGAGCCGTAAAAGGGAGCTGTGATCAGAAGGAAAGGAATATTTTTAACTGATTGTGGTAGCAATTGTATAATACTGCTTGAGGTGATTGAACTATGGAATGATATGATATCTGTATTAACTTCCAATAAAATGCTTAAAAGTCCATTATAAGAGACAAAAAAAGAGTATTACATAATAATTGAAGGGTCAATCCACTAGGAGGACATAACCATAAGAAATATTAGGCACTCAATCCAGAGCTTCAAATGTGTAAAAGGAATCCTAGCATCATTGAAAATAGGCAGTTCTACACTAATAGACTTGTCAAATCACTTTCAAAGATAGAACAACTACCAAGAAATGCTCAAATATAGAAGATCTAAATAACACAGTCAGTGAACTCACCTTTCATTAGTAGCATTGTACAGATTATTTTCCAATACACACGGATCACTTTGTAGGACAGATTAAATTTTAGGCCAAAAAGAAAAACTCAGTCCATTAAAAACTGAAACCAATCACAAAAAGAACAAGGGAAGAGGTAAATACATGGGAACTGAATAACATCTTACTGAGTAACTAATAGAAGATTAAAAAAGAATTTTTAAAATTCTTAGACGCAAACAAGAATAAAAACATCACACATAAAAGCATTGGTGTGCAGCAGATCAGTGCTTATAGGAGAAAGTACAGCAGTAAATGTACACATCAAAAGAAAAAAGAAAGGACTTAAATCAAAGCTCAACCTTACAACTTGAGCAGTTAGAAAATTAGCAGCAAATGAAACTTATAGTCCCCAGAGAAAAGAAAG